GAGATAGAGGCGAGGAATGAGTGCACTATGAAATGAAACAAGTACAAGTACCAACCCTAATTGGGTTGTACCCCCTATGGGCTACCCCATTACAGCCTAAATATATGCATTAGTAATATAATCATCTGACACTTTTCATTGGCAAAGTCAGGCCATAAGATGTCGGTGACAAGCTTTTAGGGCGTATTCCTGCACTTCGGGTCATCAGTACTTCGGGCCATCCGAAATTGTGGGATCAAATCGGAAATTTGAATCAAGAGATTGGGGTGCATTCCGATTTTCCGATTGGATCCCACAATCTCGGATGGTGCTGATGACCCGAAGTGCAGGAATAGGCCCTCATTTTTCGAAACATTTGCAACATCCGAAATTTAGCGACAGTAAAATATTTTCGCAATCTATTCGTTCGAATCTTCTTCACCAGCAGAATCCCAGCAAACATGTTACATTTTGCATGGAATGATGGCCACCCACCTTTTCCGCACAGTCCCGCACACTCCCCTCCGCAACAACTTCCCATATGCAGCATGTGGGAGAAAGGCGTGCTGCCGCTCTTGATGCTTATCAGCTCGTGTGAGGAAGATAACCAAGCAAGTCGACCGTACATACAAGCAGGCCCATATCAATGGCAGAGCGTAAAGGACAAATACCACAACAATCTCCAGCTCTCGACAGCCCAAACCTCCCACTATTCCCACCTCACTTCAAACGTCAGTCCCCTGAGCTGTTGTCTCCGCTCGTACAACTGCCACGTACTGACGCAATATCTTGTCATCACACTTTCTCTCAGTTCATCAGGCTTTGCAATTTCAGTCGCAGCCATGAGTCAGTTCAACGTTTCGTTCTGGGCCATCGTGCTCCTGTCGGCGATGGCTGTGTCGACCTTCTCGGCTGCCGACGCGCAGTCTTACTTGGCGATTCGCGCTCAAAGCCGCCAGGAAGGCCGCGAACGACGCGGACGTGCTGGCGCAAGCGGCGCAGGTGGAATACAACGACAAGCTCAAGGCGGAAAACGCGGCGAAGAAGGCCGTTGACGACGCCGACGCCGATCTGACCGCCGCACAAACGGATCTCGATAACCAAAAAAAGAAGCTCGATGATACCAAGGCAAAGGGCGAGAAGGCGCGCCAGGACACAATCAAGCTCAAGCAGACGGTGCGCGATGAGCAGGATTTTGACGACGAGCTTGAAATGAATGCCGGCGAGGCGGAGAACGACGAGAAGGAATACGCGAAAGACATTCTCGACGCGCAGCATCGCGAAAAAACCAAGCACATAAAGTTGCTTCTCCGCAGCTTCAAAATTGCTTTTCCGCAACTCTTGTTTCGCAAAAAAAAAGTCTAGGTCAAAGGCTTCTGGGTCAGGGTTACAGGGAAAGTGGTTTTCCCGCAACTTTCCTGCAGCTTTTTGGCAGCGTTTCCGGCAACATGGCCGCAACACGCACGGCGTCATATGGGTCGCTTCTACGTCATGTAGCTGCCAGTGACATTTGCGTCACCATGCGGACACTCTACGGTTACACCTGTGTGTTGCCACATAGCTGCCGATTAGCATACATGAAGTCACTATTCCACGTCAGCATAATATTTGCACGTGTACTCACGCTTTATGACAGGTGGATGCCAAACCATAACGAATTGTATCGTGCTGCATGTACGGTCGAGATGGCCACAGTTGTACGCACGCGATTGTCGCGTGCCAACTCCGCTATGCCAACCGCAGCACGGCACATGGCCGCACCGGATACGCCATCAACCTCCAGATCTCACGCCCATACGCCTCATATCTACCGTCCGTCCGATACAAATGTCATCCCACGATTTGTAGTGGAATCCACCTGTACCTACACACGCCATCCGTTCGGTGATAGGGTCTTCCAACTAGGACTACTGATACCAATCGCACGTTCACACGTACTCGTCGCAGATCTCACGATAACACACCAGTGACCATATCCATCACACACGTGGCAAATAGCCATTAGACACCGTCGTCGCGCAAACAAAAAAGCCGCGGTTCATTGATGAGCGGTCCGGCAGATTGTACGGTTGCCCTATATCCACGTCTCTAGAATAGCGTTACATCTAACGGCTCCTATTTACCCCGCCGCATTTGTCGCCGCGATTAGCGCCGCATTTGTCGCCGTACTGCGCGGAATGCTGAGAGTTGCGTTTCAACCGTCCTCGTGTCCAACATGCGCAATGTCTCCGCTAGGTGTGCAATATCGAACATACATGTCACCGATTTACTGCACAAATGCATAGAACCAACAACAACCACAACCTGTCCCCACTAAACCACTACACTAGTCTACGACACACAATTGGATTAAACACACAATCAGGAAGTCAACCATCTCTTTCACTATCCGATGCCTCCGACGCGGAGGACTCATGTTTTTCGTCTTCGGAGGCTGCTTCATCTTCCAGGAGGCATTCCAGGCCGCAAGATGAAAGGCGGAGCCCATGCCTGCCCCACTTCCAGGACTTCTTCTCATTGTCGTAGGGCACTTCATTCCGGCATACTGCATCCGCAATGGCATCGAAGGCCAGCTTCTGAATCCTCCGCACAGAAGCGCCATTCTCGCACGGAGAGTTGTGCAGTTTCCCCTTGCGCTTCTCCCAGTTGACAATGGCGTCCGTGATCTGCGACCGCAGGAGAAGCCCATTTACAACGGCGAGTTGAAGGAAAGTGGCTACAACATATGTTCACATCGGTGTAAACGTACAATGTGCTCGAGCCACGACAGGTGGTACAACTTTTTTGTTGTTTCTTTGTCCTTCCGCTTCCCTCCGAAAGCCGCGATGGCACATGCCGCGAACGCTCCGGATGCAAATGGCAGTCCATCCTTGCTGATGTGCCACTTGCACAAGGTTGGGTCCCCTGCGCACGTGGAATGCAAAAGGGGTACAACGATACCGCGTACGGAAAAAGGGGAGGGTTCAAAGACATGTCTGGTCCACTATGGCACGAAACAGGAGTTGCGGCCATAATCGCTCCGGCCATATGACAAGCGAACACGCACCATCGTCTGGGACGGGGACGCAATATCTCTTTCATGCACGCTCCCAGTGCGCTCCGTCTTACGTGCCCAAGGACTGGCCCTGTCCTCGTCGTCACGGAAAAGACCAATTCGTGGAAGAAAAACTCCGCGAGCGCGTCCAGCCAACCCTGTTTTGTACTCGGACAAGATCTTGTTCAGATCCTGCCGTCGAGCCTTATCAGCGTCTAACGCCAGAGTCGCAGTTTTGGGAGAAATGGTGGACACGACATGGCATAGGCCCGCGTTTTTGGCGTCGCGACTCGGGTAGAAATCCATCTTCTCGTTCGGGGCTTCTACAAACAGATAATCCTTAACCATGTCGCAAACACCCTGCGACATTGAAAATAGTTATGGGGGGGGGAAACGGTGACGAGATATGTAGTGTATCCAACAACTGTGCCTCGACGTGAGCAGAACACACTATGCGAGGCCTCACCTTCCAAGCCTTCTCGGCTGGAAGGATGTCAAGGGCGGTTTGGAGCACTGGCGACTTGTCGTGACGCGCGTGCCGTGCCACTTTCGCCGGCAAGTCGTCCTCATCGCACGTTGATTCTTCGTCATCATCTGGCTGGCGTTTCCGCTTCAAAGCTTCTCGGCCGAGCGAAGCTGCGGCACTTGTGGACGCCCGCTTGCGCTTACGCCGTTCGCCAAGGCGGATGATGGTCAGTACGTGTGACTCAAGACGAGCCAGTATCTTCGCGGTATCATTCTGGGAATCACGCAACGCATCAAATTCCTCGCGTGTGACTTGGCCATCGGCTGCATCTATCCGCTTCCTCGAATGTGGCGCTTTTGTGGCCTGCTCCTCCTCTGATCCGTTCTCGCCACACGGATCGTTGCTTGACGACTGACCACTACCGTTTCCTTCCTCGTCGTCCTCATCTTTGCCTTCCATTAACTCGTCTATCAGGCGTTCCTTCACGGCCTCCGTGTCCTCCTCCCCTTGCGGTGCGTTGGCGACAATGGGCGTGCAGGTTGCCTCCGCGTCGACGGCCCCGACAGCGTTGGCGCTGCATATCTGCAGCCGCACTTCTCGAGTCTCTGTGACCAGTTGCGTGGTAGGTAGAAGGGTGTGTAGATTGCGTGTGCATACGGCATATATCACCACAGACAAGCATTAGCACTCATACATGAAATGCAACGCACTTGTCACGTCACAAATGTTACCTTCGTCATGCCCCGCGTTCTCATCCGCCGCGCCACATTTTCCTGTGCTTGTTTTACGCCTCTTGGGTTCCGCTAGGGGTCGTCCTTTCTTCTTCCGCTCCCCGTATTCATATGAATCAGCTAACCATGACGGCGCAGTCTTCGCCCGCTTGGAACGACCGCCGTCGGTGGGAGTCATATCGACCTCTAGCGGAGACAGCATCTGAGACCGCATACACAGCGGGTTGGAAATGGCGTAGCTCTAAACCACCCCGGGGTTCTACCCTCGCTCGCAACAGTCCCCTTACCACTCTCTTGTACATCGCAATGCTCGATAACGGAGTTTGTCACCGCACTAGTTGCCTCACGCTCTTGGCCACGCGCACAATTCTACACATGTCACGGTTAGAGTGGCCAGTTTGATTACAGACAAATGTCAGCCACACTTTCCACATGTAACATGTCGCCGTGCCAGGTTTGTCACATCGTCGATGCTCGTCCACGTTTCTGTCACATGCGTTACTCCAATTATACACCCGCTTTTTTCACCATTTGCTACTACCCCCAACCGTTGTTACAGTTTCAAGATGTGCATCGTTTAAGCGTTCTTTGTCATATATTTACATCTCCTGGATATAGACACTTCAATAACGTGGTCGCTGCGATGCTTACATTTCCAGATTCGTCTACCCGCCACCAGGTCTAAGTCCTATCAGTATGAGCACACAACTAGAACAACCCTGGGTCCAATGGCCACCCTGTTTAGTGCTTCATGCAACACCCTCTGCACGGTTGACAATCCTCCCATCCATCATCTTCGCCGAAAGTATCGGAATCCAGGTTCATACACAGCATCATCGTCAACAGACTCGTCGTCATCCGTGTAGTCCTCTGTTCGGTCCTCTGGCTCTTCAGCCATAGGCTGGTCCTCTGTAGTCGGCGTGATCGCCTGCACCTCCTCAACGTCACTACTGGCCCGGGACGCTCTGCCCTTTCGCCGCGAACGGGTCTCGACCGCCTGCGCGTCGTCCAGGCCAGCCATTGCGCACGCCACTCCCTCCATCTGTTCCAGCGCCTGTACTTCACGAGTAGCCTTAGGATCTCCTCTGTGCAACCGGCTAAAGCCTGCCTGTCAGCGTCGGACAGCTCAACTGTGCAGCTGATGCGTGAGTTCGGGCGAAGTACAACGGCTGCCGCAGCATACAGCGTATGACGCCTCGTCCTTGTCCTCGTACGACCCCAGACGAACCTGCTGACGGCGAGCAGATATGATCCGGACGTAGTACCTCTGCTTCTCTGCGTTCCACATAACTCCCACCCGGCCAGCTGCTATGCGACCCGCCCGGAGTTACCTGGAGCTGCGGGCACGGGAGTCTTAGCGCGACTGCGCAAAGCCACTGCAAGCTGGTCGCGCTGTTGTTGCCTGACCACAGCAGGTGTCGCGTCTCCGGCAGTAACTTGGCTATCTTTCACGCCAGGTGTGTGAGGTGCAAGACAGGGAGAGATTGATGGCACTGCCGCCAGTGCACGCTTCGGTGGAGTCTGCGCGACTTCCATTGGGCCACTTCTGTCCGCGATAGGGTCTGCTTTAGCGTGCTTGCGTGGAGTCGCCGACTCTACCAGCATGTCCACCACGGCACCAAGGTGTTGGCGCGCCCCTGCGTCCAGCTCGTCCAACGTCACGCCTTTGCGGATGGCCAGATACTCGATCTTGGCCGTCAGAACTTGTATGTCGTGCTCAATCACAGCGAACTTCTCCTTGTGGTCTAGCAGCTCTCTTCGGATGTCCACGGGAGGGTCGACGCAGATGTATCCGTTGTCGTCGATAACGGGAACAGGCTGCAGAGGTATGCGGAGACCCTGGCGCTACAGCTCGGGAATCAGCGTTCCCTCGGCATGAGAACAAAAGATCCCCACGCATCTTGTGGCGGTACCTCTCAGCGCTCACCCCCTTGAACGATATGTACTCTCTCACGGTTATGAACCCAGATGTCGCCAGTGCTTCGAGATACTGGCAAATGTATACTCCACAGTCCCAGCTGTTAGGTTGTTTCGGGATGTGGTGACCCTGCGCACCATCGAGACACCCATGTTTCCGTTCATCAGAACCGCGCTCCCGTATTAGAAAGCAAGTGGGGATAGAATGAGCCATACTGTCTTTGCAGCATCTCACCTCCATGATTATCGTTTCTGCCTTGATGAGCGCTTGCCTAGACGCCTCCTGGTCCACCTCCGGATGATCGCGTTTGCACATGAGGTGCAATAACCTGCACGACGATATAGCCAACAGGTCAGATGAGGTCGCAGGACGTCACCGCTGAAAGGGGGTTGCACGGTGATATATAGCGAGTCTCACGCTTTAGTCCCGTCAAAGACATCAGTAGTCTTGGCGTGGAGGCCGTCACTGTCGAACAGAATGAACTCCACAGGTGCGGCCGTCTGGCTAACAATCCCGCTTGGGTTGGTTACCACCATCAAAGAGTAGTGTTTCCTGCACAATTGAGGGGCCTTTGTTAGGCTGGGGCTACAGACGGGCTTATTACAGCGGCTTGCAAAAGACGTACTTACCGGGCATATACCGGGACGGCGATGTAATCGTTACTCGAACACAGACGGGCCCGTGCACCT